GCGTTTTAAATCATGGCGGGTGAGGGCGTTTCCGTACAAGTTTGGCCAATCAATGTCTACTTACGTCACGGGTAGTACCAGTTGTGCTGGTTAGACCCTAGTAGGAGCTAATTTGGTTCTCGAAAAAGGCAGTCCGGTACTAAAATCGCACCCAGTTCCGGCGGTGCGAAAACGCCAAAAAGTGGGTAGTTCCACAATTAGTTCTGGTACTATGAAAAGGTTCCCGCGGTGCGAAAGGCCCTATTGATGCATTAGATACTGTCAAGGTAACAGAGAGGTTTATTTTGTGAAGTTGATAGCCGTGTCGAGAAAGCGAAATGAATGTGCTAATAGGAGCGCATTTGCACGACAAAACCACTCAAATGACCAATGACACACACACTGCACTGCAACAAAATCCAATTAGTCAAACCATCTCTGACAAAGCATGAATTATCCTCTTTGATGAACCGGTGCGTACACCTAAACCTTCTCTCCACACTGCTTATTAAAACAACCAACAGCTCAGGGCCCCACTCTGTCATAATGTACTCGCCTCCTTATTGTTTCAACCTGTATGGCTTTCTAGCTTAACCCGTGTTAAGTGTAATGACGCAAGTTTCAGGATTTCAATTAATCAGACATGCAATTTTTTTTATTTAACCTTAAAATGGAATCCAGACAAATAAAAACAGAAGATATGGAATTTGGGAAAAAATAAAACTCAGACAAGAGAAGTATACTTTGGGCTTGACGTTCATAGTTTTGCAAATACGAACTTTCCACATTACGATCTCTCATACGACATGCGAGAATCAAATTGTGTTCTGCAACACTCCAAATCTGGCCTGAAGTATAGTCACATGACACATTAAACTCAATCCTCTACAATGCATGTAAATCACTCACATATGCAACTACATTTCCACGATATGAGACTACATAATGTCTATCATTAGCCACTGGCTAATACATTGTTAGATTTCACTTGTCAGTGTTTCCGTTCGAGTGAAGGACAAGCAGAAGAAGGTTCCTTCAGCAGTGGGCGGAGCTAATCCACAAAACGCCAAACACTTTGGCTAAAGTCAGACCTTAGCACGTTTTATGTTGTTATTAGTAGTAGAAACATAGTATTAACATATCCAAATTATTGTTCTTTTTGTTTTACTAAAACACTGAATGACCAACAATGTCTCAAGCACCACCACCAGACCTAAGTTCAGTTAATATGACAAATATTAAAAAAACATTTTCACAACATTTCAAACATTTAACACGTTTTAGTTCTAATTACTAAAGTTCTATCAGAAAATGCTTGCTTGACTTTTCTTGTTAAAAGTGTAGTTCTTCTTGCAGATCATATCACATATGAATGCATCTTAGTAAAAAGCTGTGCCATTTTACGAAGATAAGCTAATTTGTGTGTGTGTGTGTGTGTGTGTGTGTGTATAGGGGCAGTGCCTCCTCAAAAAATTGGATGAGAAAAACATTCGTATTACAAAAATAAAAATTCATATATTACAAAACATATTATTAAAAAGTGTACACTTTTTGACACCAGCAGGCAAAATAACAGCGGGAGTCCACGTCTCTCTCGCCTCCCCTGAGCCCATTGAGTTTTAACAGACCCACTAAAGCGTGCGGTGAGTTTGGTGGGGGGTAATTGAGAATGAATGAGGGAAAGTCACGTGAAAGGAGGCAACGATATGATTGGATATAACTGATTATGATCAGGTATGATTGGTTCATGAGATAAATCCCGCCTCTTGTGTTCATGCACATTCTGCGTTCACGAATCAGTCTGAATGAACAATATAATGGCGTTAATGGGAAGACTAATTAAGAAATAAACAACTCACACACTTAGATATATAATCACTTCGTTACATCAAAATAAGACTTGAAATCAGCTTGGTGAAATTTAAGGTAAATCTCTGTGTCTGTGCCCAATATTTACCGAGCTTTGATGACTGATGATCCAAAAAAATTCACAAATAGTTAAAAGTTAGCTATTATAAAGAATAGCTGAACATAAGTTCACAAATAAAATATATTGTTTAAATTGTTACGGCCTTGAGTTATTATTTTGATGGTAAAACTCTTAAAAACACTAATTTGATGAGTTTTGGCTTTAATAAATAGAATATTGATTACATTGTTAATGTAAAAATATAAAATAGAATTGATTTTTAAAGAAGTCTAATGTTTATGTTCATCAAGGTTGCATTTATTTGATCAAAAATACAGAAAACCGTAACTGTGAAATTATTATAAATTATGGTTTTAATTTAATATACTTTAAAAACAATTTATTCCGGTGATGAAATCTGAATTTTCAGCATCATTACTCCAGTCTTCAGTGTCACATGATCTTCAGAAATCATTCTAATATGCTGATTTATTATCAATGTTGGAAACAGTTGTGCTGCTTCATATTTTTTTGGAACCTGTGATACTTTTTTCAGAATTTTTTGATGAAAAAAAAATGTGAAAAAGAACAGCAAGAACAGCAAAAGAAAGAAAAACATTAATAACCCCAAACTTTAGTGTATATTGTAACAAAAGAGTTATATTATTAATAAATAAAAGATTTATATTTTAAATAAACAAACAAAAAAAATTACTAGCCAATAGCAATTCGATTGCCAAGGTGTGCATAGAGGGTTGATACTATACTAAAAATTAACTTTCAATTTTTGGGTGGCCTAACCTTGTAAGAAATGGCAAAACCGGGTTAAATCCACATTTGAGTGTGTTAGATACTGTTAGTGCGGCTCTCTTGCCGTCTGCAGGGCTTTAAATCCTATGATGCAAATGTCAAACTGAGGCCAGGGTGTTTATTCCAGTAGGTTGGTGATCATACGACAGTCAGCACGTATTGCTGGGAAGTTTCTCATTTGACTGGAATGATTCGATTTCTAGAGAGTGGGCAAGAATTACTTTTACGTTTTGATCTGGTCAGAGCATTAAATGAGTGTGTAGGTATAGACGTCTTACATTTTTCACACTGATTTCTACATATGCTCTATCCTGAAAAGCATTTTTTGTGCATGCTCACCGAAATCATTTTGATATCTACATATTCAAAGGTGCTTCAGACCGTAACATAATCCAGATTATGATCGGTCCGGCCCGTCTTGAATATTCTTTGGCAAAGCTGCTACAGTGCACTGCTCATTTCAAGACCAATTTAAAAGACAAGATTCAGTTTGGAATTAAAGTCGAGACGAACGCTATGTAAATTGTTACGAGGAGGCCTAAAACTTTGCGGTGACTACTACAGGAGTTACTCACTGAGAACATGGCTGGTGCTGGTGCTTACCCTGACTGAGAGGCCATGGCCTCAACCAATGAACCATTGGAAGAGGATTGAGAGAGAAAATTCCAGACAACTTGATGGTTCTTCTCAGCTACGGCTCCCTCTCGTTTAGTAGCGTCCACTCCGGAGGCACAGTTTCTTGATCGGCAGCTTTCACACTTCAGTCTTCGCTGCTGTATTTCCTGGGAGTTGAGATAAACCTGACTCAGGGAGGGGAGGTTACAGTCTGTCTGTGGAACAAACCACTGCGCTGAACAGAGGAGACACAGCTACAACATGCAGGTCAGGACTAACTAAGGCATGAGGATCTATACCAAATCTACAAATCTTAGTAACCACTGGACCATCAAAATGAAAAAAGAAAAAAGAAAGAAAAAGATAACACACCCCTCCAAAAAAACAAAAAAAAATGCTTGAAAGTTTCATATAGTGTACACTACTAACAAACTCATCCTTCTATATTTTATCAATATTACGTCCACATGAAGTAACAAGTTGCCTACATAAATCCTTTCGCTGAGAGCAAACACCCCTCCGAGTGCTGTGGAGAATGGTGCAGTCCACCAGCGCCCATATAAAGACATGTTATTTTATGCCACTCAGCCACTCCCCTCCATGACATTAAGAGTCGCAGCAGCCAATCAGCTGCTGTCTCTCAGTAAACACACTGCCCTCCCCCACTTGGGTCTGAGCCAACACCATCAGCGTCAGTTTCCTTAAAGGGCCAGATGCAGTTTTTCTCCAAGTCCAGAAGGAAAGCACGTCAAAAACATTAGTAAACCCAGGTGGTGATGAGGCAATTAGATGCAATATGGGAATCACCAAAAACAATTGTGTCTCACCGGTCTGGGTCCAGCTGCATAAACATAGCCACTATGTTAAGACTGTGTCTTTAGTTTGACCAGCTAGCAGTTAGCCAAGTCTTAATCAGTCTTACTTTACATATTACACCAGTCATGACCAGTCTTACCAGACTAACTTTTTAGTCAAAGCAGTTTATGCAACCGGCCCCTGGTAATAGCTTGCATTTTGATCTATTTCATCTCATCAAAATCCTACATCTTCTAGTGTATCTGAAGTCACGGTAAAACTTTAGTTTAGGGACCAATTCTCACTATTAACTAGCTAATTATTAGCATGCATATTGCTGGCATATTGGCCATTTATTAGTACTTATAAAGCACATATTAATGTGTTAATTTTATTTTGAAAATGGCACTGACATCATGTCATCACACACTGATTTGATAGGAACAAAGGTTTGTAAAAGTTCAACTAAAACCATTTAATTTTACATAGTGACTTGGTATAATGCTAGGGGGAAAAAATATGATGCTAGGGGGAAAATTATGTGAACAAAAAGTAGAGCCCGACCGATATATCGTTTTGCCGATATTATCGGCCGATATGAGCCTGTTGCCGATATATCGGTATTGGTGAATATGCCGCAGATATGTCGACGATATGAAATTTTTTTTACAGAACATACAACTCAGATAAAATGCTTGAAATGGCGCGCTCCATTGTTTGCTACTGGCGACCTGGATGAAACGCTTTAAAGCTTAAGTCTATGGAAAACCATTGAAACTTTGAACGGCCATATCTCCGTAACACCGCGGCGAATCCGCACCAAATTCGGGGGATCCCTTCAGCTCGAGGAATCGAGTGTACATCTAAAGGCCCGCTTTCGAATGAAACCACCCCCGCGTCGATAGCCCCCGGGGTTCGGGAGTTACGGGCGGTTAAATTCGCGTTCCGGCGCCGACCGATCAAGCAATCCCGGGGGGCTACCGACGTAGAGCCCGACCGATATATCGTTTTGCCGATATTATCGGCCGATATGAGCCTGTTGCCGATATATCGGTATTGGTGAATATGCCGCAGATATGTCGACGATATGAAATTTTTTTTACAGAACATACAACTCAGATAAAATGCTTGAAATGGCGCGCTCCATTGTTTGCTACTGGCGACCTGGATGAAACGCTTTTGAAGCTTAAGTCTATGGAAAACCATTGAAACTTTGAACGGCCATATCTCCGTAACACCGCGGCGAATCCGCACCAAATTCGGGGGATCCCTTCAGCTCGAGGAATCGAGTGTACATCTAAAGGCCCGCTTTCGAATGAAACCACCCCCGCGTCGATAGCCCCCGGGGTTCGGGAGTTACAGGCGGTTAAATTCGCGGTTAAACTTCAACTTTACTGTTCAGCGCACTGAGTTCAGTGAACTCATTTTGTATAATAAAGTTTGTTAAATTGTTAAATGCCCTGCATCTATTACGTATCTCTGTCACGTCATTATAAGTGTTTGATCACCACATTTGAGTGATCATTGCAAAAAATGCGTTTATGAATATATATTCTGTTTATGTATATACTGTATCCTATATATAGTACCAGTTAAATGTGTGGACACACGAATGGCAAAGTGTCCAAACTTTTGGCTGGTACTGTACTATAATATACACAAAGAATATCGGCCGATATATCAATATTTGGATAATAAAGTTTATTGTTAAATGCCCTGCCTCCATTACGTATCTCTGTCACGTCATTATAAGTGTTTGATCACCACATTTGAGTGATCATTGCAAAAAATGTGTTTATGAATATATATTCTGTTTATGTATATACTGTATCCTATATATAATACCAGTTAAATGTGTGGACACACGAATGGCAAAGTGTCCAAACTTTTGACTGGTACTGTACTATAATATACACAAAGAATATCGGCCGATATATTGATATCTTTTTTTTTACTCCCTAATATCGGTATCGGCCCCAAAAATCCCATATCGGTCGGGCTCTAACAAAAAGAGATACACTTCACTAAACCAAGTTGGTCGAAAGCTCACAACGCTTGCCCCGCCTCCGGGCTCTTCTGATTGGTCCACTGTTTTGCAACTGGCATTGATGAGCGGCGCTGCCTTTAAAAGTTGAAATTCTTTAACTTGACACGGCATCTTAAAAACGTGGCACTCATGTGTGAGACACTGCAAAAAGACATGAACGCAATAGTCTCACACGTAATGCGAAAAACGATGGAAAAGTTGTGCATTGGAATGGAAAAACATGTTCTGTGTGAACGGCCCCTTAGGATGGAGGATTAAAAAAAAAGTATATCAACTTAAAAAAAAAATTAACGATTTTTGACCCTTCCTCATAATTCTATATGATTCTCCTTTTTGTCATTGTGTTAGGACAAAAGTTTTTTTAGTTTTTTTTTTACTAAAACATTAACAAATGACAGTGATTGATGAATATTTGAGACATGAATCTCATTTAGTGAATCAAGCTTATCAACACTGAACTTTCTTAGAAGTCACAAGTTGACACTAGTCTGATGGTTATATTCACGTGGTTTCTTAAAGGGGTCATATGATGCGATTTCAAGTTTTCCTTTCTCTTTGGAGTGTTACAAGCTGATTGTGCATAGATAAGATCCCTGAAGTTGCAAAGACTAAAGTCTCAAAACCAAAGAGATTATATTGCTGGCAGCATCATAGTGAATATTGTATCCACCTTATTTTTCCTGTAAAAGTGGGAAATTTTATGTGTCTGGTTTCCAGTGTCATTCGCTTCCAGCTATTTTTAGCTGTACAAAACGGCTCGTTTTGCTGCTTGATATTGCAAATTGGTGTTTCTTACCATATTATTTAAATGTATTATCTTAATTATGAACACACTGGTTTGTATTGCAAACAGTTTTACCGTTTTCTGCATGTTGCTATTCTTCTCATTATTTCCCTACAGCGGCTAATGAACCGGAAGTCTCGCCCATAGGCTCACTTCTGCGTTGAAGAATAAGGTGGATATATTTCTTATATCCCATTCATCACTGTACAACTTAAAGTGCACATTTATGGCTGTTCGGTAAATTTTCATAAGCGGAATCCAGTCATTTCAATAGGAATCCATGTGATCGGTAATTTCACATGAGGGTGAAAGACTTTCCTATGCAACTGGTGAACTGCTCATTACTAATCCAAGCTGACCAACAGAACGCTGCTGGGTTGGAAAAAGACATCACACATTGCTACAATACTGAAAGAGGTAAATGGACCATTTTTGCTTGTCAATCTGAGCAAAACACAAGATCCCTAATTGCTTTAATAAGGTAAATCAACACGCGTCAGGCTTCCAACATCTTCTCCAGTGAGGTAAACAAGATCCTTAAGCTTTTAAATTAGGACATGCATGGTTATGTAACATGCAAATAAAGTTAAGGATATAACCAAATTGTGTGTTTTTTTTGTTTGTTTCCTTTGATAAAATGCAAAAATATTCTAGAAGTTGAGAGAACATTTTAGTTGTTGTAAAGCAATATTCCCTAACCACTGGGAAATATTCTGCCCCAATTTTATGAAAATTATCACCATGCTTGAAAGAAGTCTGTGCTTGTCTTAATTTATAAAGTTTATAAAGCATAGAGAGAAAGTATAGCACTTATGTCAAATTGGACATTAATGTACTTCTATAGATAATACATTTTTAAGGCTGACTTTAAGACAATGCTATTTGTACTGCAATAACCTGACAGTAAACCACACACACACACACACGCATCTGTGCAATATTAACTTTTTTTTTTTTTAAAAAGCCCTTTGCACTCAACTGTAAAAAATTAACACCATTTTTCTGAAGGTACTGGCCCTTCCATATTGGTGTTAGGTGAACAGACTGCCAGGGATATCTTGACTTTATATGTGACGATATCTCTCAGGATTGTGTACTCAGGGCGTGTGCCAGAGTCACGCACACAAGCTACCAACCCAGAGCCTGGTGCATGTGCTGACTGCTTTACAGTCCGTGTTTCTGAAGTATGTTTTAGATGGGGAAAAATTGGGAAAACCTGGGGCAAAAAGGGCGGTGATTTTGTGAACGACTCATTTTCCAGAGCAAACTCAATCCAATTTTGATAGTAAACCATAACATGAAAGAAATCTGGGCAATATGTTGGTTAAAATGATATATAATGATAAATACAAATCCAATTTCCCAGTTTGAATTTGATGAGAGAGAAAACAACAACAGTGGAAAGCCTTCAATTGTGTTGTTCTGTCCTCACGTGCCACTCACAAAAACCAACACAACGCCAGTTTAGTTGAACTAAAGAACGAGGATTCATTTACATTAAAGGTTTGAATCAGCTTGACAAATCCTTCACAGAATAAATTTACTGAATCCCCCTGAGCAGTCACGAAATCATCACCCTTTCGAAATGAAGCATTTGTGTAGTGACGGCTCA